GTGCTTTCCCTTTTGCCTCCCTGCATTGTGCCTACATATGCAAATTAACCGCCATCTTTGTTGGCAGTTAACCGCCATCTTGGCTGGTGATTAATTTGCATATCTCGCTAATTAGCCAATGGGAAGGGTAGCGGTCGTACGCTAATTACCATGTTTCTCTTTTATTAGTGTAGATAATGGAAACTTCTTAAGTAAAACTTGAAAAATAAGAAATGGATATTGAGGGCAAATATTTGTGAATTCTTGAAAATAGAAAGAAAATCCACTAACTTGGTATAGGTAGAAAGAGTTAGTATATCTTTTGCTTCTCTGATAAATCTGTAAAGTAATACAGAGTCAAAATCTTACATATTTCATCACATACCTTCAAGCCAAGCATTGCTCCTGAATCTCGAGGCACACTTCCATCTTTCAGACGCTTATTTAATAAAATACGACCAATTAAGCGATCTCCATCTTTAGATGGCTGCCATGTCACAGGATGCTGACATTGCATCAAAAAACAAAGAAAATTAATGTTCTTTTATGACAAGTGACCCTTTATTGTACAATCTCTCTAAATTCCAGGTTGCCATAGTACTATGATTACACAAACCAGTTTGCATTCAAAACATTGATCAAAAAAGGCTTACTACATTATGCCAATAACCTGAATTTTATTATCTTGTTTTTTTTCAAAGTCAAATTACTTCAAATTCTTACAGTATTTTGACACAATCCTGAAGTTATATAGTTTTACCAAATCGAAGAAATCTTGAAAATATGTTCAAACCCTAATTTAATAACATACATGTTGAAGATTAATAAAATCATAGGTAGGGAAAATAGACTGAAATTCTATAAAAGTAAACTCATTTAAAAATGAAAATTTAATCTTTCAACACTTTTGGAAAACTTTGAGAGACCTTATTACAATAAAAGTTAAAAGGTCAAATTATATAAAACACAAAAGTCACACCTCTGATGAGGGGCTTTCTTGAAATCGGTTTCTAGATTAAATTTACAAGAAACACACATGCCCCAATAACTTTCCAATTGATTCCAGGAGAACTAGGCCTAATTCAGAGGTGGGCATAGATTATATTTCTCACTTTTTAGAGGTTCATTGATTCCTTCAGGTCTTTGATCTAGTTAGTAAGTTGATTTTTATTGGCTAATTCCATGGTATCCATTGTTAAATATAACCTTTAAAATATTAGTTTATCTCTTTCTCAGGGCAGAACCAATCCCTTTAGAAATCATGACACCATTCCATTCCATTATGAATTATATGTCAAATAACAAAGTCAATGATTTGTGTAATCACGTTTCACAGTTATCTTAAAGTAACATGCACATCTTCATGCAAAATTTAGCAGGCAAAAGACAAGTTCCAGTCAGTCACATCTATATGGTAACAAGATTTTAAAAGTCTCACTACACTAAAAGCAAAAAATAATAAATACCAAAGCGGATGGCAATGGTTCTGATACTAATTAATGCTACATTGAAATGCTATGACAATAAAACAAAAGAGCAAAATGACAGTGAAAGGGAAAAAAGAAAAACAACTTTTTCTGTGCAAATAGACCCAATTATCTCCCTTTTGCCTGGGATTCAAACTATTAACAATTTTTCATCCCAAGGAAAATGTATGCAAGCAATCAAATAAGCCAATCCAAGAAATTCTTTGTATTTGTAGTTTATAATAACATTACAAAAGTCTCTCATGCGACCATAGACAAAACATTCCTTTGTTCCTAATTTTTATTTCATTTACTTATTTTTTTTTTTTTTTGGTATGCCGTCAAACAACAAAAACAGCAAAGCAAGCAAGAAATTATTTTGATTTGTTTGTTTTGGTTTTGTTTTTCTTTTCTGCACCTTGAGAAATGCTACATTGACCCTTGAAATGCCCTGTTCTTTTATTATGTTCTGTTTGAATGAGTGACAGAGAGCAAACGAAGACCGAATGAGCAGGTTCAAAGGCAGGCTCCACAATCTCAGTACCTTCTCGCTATGGCTATGCTCCTCGTTAAGGGTTGTGCTACTACAGGTATCTACCCCAGAGTCCTTAATCTGAGGCTCGGACCATTCCAAATCCTCTTCCAAAGAGTGGCCACCAAAGCACATCATTTTCTTTTGTCTCTCAGACCTGGTGTTAGAGTCCGACAAAACTGCCTGCTCACTAGTTTTTCTTTTTCCCTTTTGACTGTCCCCTACAGGTGTGGGATTAAAAAAAAAAAAAGATACAAAAAAGAAAACATGCAAAAGTGTAAATTAAAAAAGGAAAAGTGAAATGATAACAGAGATTCAATAGTAAGGCCCCACTTGTCTCACCAAAGACATTGGGGATGCCTCACTGCTATGCCAAGACGTATGGTCCAACCAGTTGTAATCCATGTCTCCTGTGAGAGTCGGACAGACAAGAGAGCGCAGTAAAGGAGACGGCGAGAGAAAGGACAGACAAAGGCATCATCAACATTTTAAACTGTGTGACACTGTCCGCTTTCAAGGACTCTGGTCTCTAATACTCACTACACATATCAAGAGAAAGCTAGGATTCCAAATGATTAAAACTTACAGAATGTAGAATATCAAGTTTATGATCTCTAGACAGACCCTAGAGAACCAAAATCCTAAAAGAAGAGAAAAGGCTAATAATAAACAGAAATGAAAAAAAAAATACATATTCTGAAAAAGAAAAAGACTATTGGTTATGTCTGTTACTCATGCTATCTTTTTCATGCTGGTTTACAGACATGAATGATTCTCCAAAGAGTAAAGAACATTTTAGAAGTGGTGGTTTGCCGATAACCACTATAACCAAAAGCCAAGCAATTAAATGTTGTTCCTGGAGTGTAATACAATATTAGTTTTAATGCTGAAACCTCCTAAAAATATTTAGTGGATAAAAAAAAAGAATTGCTTACACAAAAGAATAGTTGTGTATGAAAGTGACAAAAGAGATGCACTCAATTTCTATTAGTAAAAATAAAAGAAACTTTACTTTTATTATGAATTACTTATTATTGTGAAATAATTTTTCAACTTTTTCAGAAATTACATTCTCATAAAATGAAAAATTGAAATAATTTTGTCAGATAATTTGTGTAATTGACAACTAAGAATGAGTATCTACTTCCCATGCTTATATGCTCCTTCTTTGAAAAAGGATTTATGTTTAGACTATATGTGCACATATATCTTTTTAAACTCTACTCATACTTTCACTTACTTAAAAATACTTACTAATCCCCTTCCATTTGCTATGCATTGCGCTAAGCTCTAGTGTATGGGGTTAAAAGATGAGACATACAACAGAGTGGAGATAAACACAATAAATAAGTCCTCAGTGTCACATAGGAAATTACAAGACACCGAGAGAGTATAATAATATCTAATTTAAATTTAGGGGTCAGTGAACACCTCCAAAGAAGTGATGTTTAAAGATGAGAACTGAAATATGTGGCCAACAGGACACGTAAGGAGATAGGCAGATGGAAAGCGGAGGAAAGAACATTCTAGGAATAGCATGGTCCTGTGAAAGAACTGCTAGGACACCTGTGTGTCTGAACCCAAAGGAATGAGGGCAAATATAATGCTACAGGAGACTGGTGAGGCAGCACAAACCAGCTTAGTGGGGCCTTTTTATGCCACATGAAAGACTGTGAATTTCATTTCTTGAAGGACTTTAAGTAAAATGGTGGTATAAACTGATCTACATTTTTAAAAGATGAATCTAATAGAGATTGAATTGGATGACACCAAGAGTTAAAAGGCATTTGCAATAATCCATGGGACAGGTGATTAGGGCTTTAACAAAGGTGCTGGCAACAGATGTGGTAAGAAAAGAGGAAACTGAGAGGTGCTTTGGAGGTGGAATTAAGGCTTAAAAATATTATTTGGAAAATATTTGTAAGAATGAAGACTCATGCCTGGCCGGCATGGTTTAGTGGTTGAGTGTCGACCTATGAACCTGGAGGTCATGGTTTGATTCCAGGTCAGGGCACATGCCCGGGTTGCAGGCTCGATCAACAGTGTGGGACATGCAGGAGGCAGCCAATCGATGATGCTCTCTCATCACTGAGGTTTCTATCTCTCCCTCCCCCTTCCTCTCTGAAATCAACAAAAAATAAAATAAAAAAGACTTGAATTTGGGTCTTAAAAGGCATAGAGCTTAAAAAAAAAAGAATGAAGACCCACTACAAATGATTAATATTTAAATTGTAAATGCCATGTAAGGATTAGCAGAAGAAAAAGGAAAATTAGAATTAATCAATAATGCAAGGAGCCATTAAACAGAAATAGTTATTAGGTTTCAGATAAGAGTTTGATAAGAATCTAGTTTAACTGATAGAACATAGTCTAACTCTCAGTGAAACAGACCATTGTAAACCAATAGTCTCTCAACCTCTACTTCCAAATTCTGTTTAATACAATTTAATTTAACTCAGGATAGAAAAAAAGTTTATTGCATGTCTGTTATGTGCCTGATGCTGTGCTAAGTGTTATGTGTAAGATGGAACCAGCATGCTCCCTCCTTGGAAGATAAGCCTGTAAGCAAACAAGAGTACTATGTTATGATAGACATGAAAATAGTTAAATGCAAGGCACAGATGTGGAGCGGACATGATTCCAAGAAGGTAGAGGTAATTATCATGGATGTATCCTAGAAAGAAAAATAGGCAGATTCTCACACAAGCTGGAGAAAAGGAAAGCCCAATGCATGTACAACTTTCCCGGATGAGTTAGTCAAATATAGCAGAACAAACTGAACCACCAAGCAAAATAGAGACAGACTCATAGATAAAGAGCAGATAGACTGCTTGGGGCAGGGTGGAGGGTAAGGTGGGTAAAGGGACTGAAAAAAAAAGAGAGAGAGAGAACTCAACAGAACACACCACCAAGAAATAAACCCACATGTACATGGTCAATTAATATATGCCAAAAGCGGCAAGAACATACAATGGAATAAAGACAAGTTTATTCAGCAAATGACATTGGGAAAATTGAACAGATACGGGCAAAAACTGAAACTAGACCACCTTCTTACACCATACACAAGAATAAACTCAAAGTGGATTAAAGATATAAATGTAAGACTTGAAACCATTAAAACCCTTAGAAGAAAACGAAGGCAGTAAAATATCTGACATTTCTCTTAGCAATATTTTTTTCTGATATATCTCCTCGGGCAAAGGAAACAAAAGAAAAAATAAACAAATGGGACTACATCAAACTTAAAAGGTTTGCACAGCAAAGGAAAGCATCAACAAAACAATACAAGCTACTGAATGGAAGATGTTCACCAATGATGCATATGATAAGGGAGTTAGTATCCAAAATTTATTAAGAATTCAGGCAACCCAACAATAATAATAAAAAACAATCCAATTTAAAACTGGGCAGACGACCCCATACTTCTCCAAAGAGGACACACAGATGGCCTATAGACCTGTAAAAAGATGCTCAATGTCACTAATCATCAGAGACATGCAAATTAAAACCACAATAAACTATCACCTCACACCTGCTAGAATGGCTTATTAATAAAACAACAAACAAGTATTGATGAGGATGTGGAGAAAAGGGAACCCTCCTACACTGTTGGTGGGAATGCAGACTGGTGCAGTCTTTATGGAAAACAGTATGGAGTTTCCTCAAGAAATAAAAATGTACCTGTCTTATGACCCAGTGATCCAACTTCTGTGTATATATCTAAAGAAACCCAAAACACTAATTTGAAAGACTATATGCACCCCTATGTTCATTGCAGCATTATTTACAGTAGCCAAGATACAGAAGGAACCCAAATGCCCATAAATAGACAAGTGGATATAGAACAAATACCCCAAAAATTTACATGGAGCAAAAAAAGACCCCAAATAGCCACAGCAATCTTAAGAAAGAAGAACGAAGTTGGAGGGATCACAATACCAGATATGAAATTATACTACAAAGCTGCTGATACTGGCACAAGAACAGGCATACAGATCAATGGAACAGAACAGAGAACCCAGAAATCAAACCAAGCCATTATGCTCAATTAGTATTTGACAAAGGAAGCAACAGCATACACTGGAATAAAGACAGTCTCTTCAATACATGGTTTTGGGGAAATTGGGCAAGTACAGGCAAAATAATGAAAGTAGACCACCAACTTATACCATACACAAGAATAAATTCAAAATGGATAAAAGACTTAAATGAAAGTTGTGAAACCGTAAAAATCTTAGAAGAAACCATAGACAGCAAAATCTCAGACATCTCTCATAGCAATATGTTTGCTGATACATCTCCGAAGGCAAGAAAAACAAAGAGAAAATAAACAACTGGGACTACATCAAAATAAATAGCTTCTGCACAGCAAAAGAAACAATCAACAAAATGAAATGAGAGCCCACTGCATGGGAGAACATATTTGCCAATGATACACCTGATAAAGGGTTAATTACCAAAATATATAAGGAACTCATATAACTTAATACAAGGAAGACAAACAATCCAATTAAAAAATGGGCAGAGAGCCTAAATAGACTCTTCTCCAAAGCCGACATACAGATGGCCAAGAGACATATGAAAAAATGCTCAAAGCCACTGATCATCAGAGAGATGCAAATTAAAACAACAATGAGGTATTACCTCACTCCTGTCAGAATGGCTACCATCAACAGATCAACAAATGACAAATGCTGGCGAGGATGTAGAGAAAAGGGAACCCTAGTACGTTGCTGGTGGGAATACGGACTGGTGCAGCTATTATGGAAACAGAGTTTCCTCAAAAAATTAAATATGGAACTCCCATTTGACTCAGCGATCCCACTTCTAGGAATATATCCTAAGAAATCCAAAACACCAATCAGAAAGAATGTATGCAACCCTATGTTTATAGCAGCACAATTTACAATAGCTAAGATCTGGAAACAGCCCAAGTGCCCACGGTAGATGAGTGGATAAAAAAGCTGTGGTACATTTATACCATGGAATACTATGCAGCAGTA